TGAGACTCCTATCTGTTTTCGTCTACTTGAATTAGGTCAGTTGTATCTTCATTGCAGAAGTGTTGCTTCCCTTACAGAAAAGTATTACTAGTAATTAATAAAGAAACAATAGTGACTAATCACTTCTCAGTGATAATTTAGCGAATTAGTATATATGGTACATTTTTTTGCTAAATTTCCACAAATTGACTTGTTAGAATGCGATCCAGACAATCTAATGCTTGATTGTTTTGTTTAAATAATAATAGAAAAAAAACGTAACTCATGTTTTGTGTGTCATGTATGCGTCGCACTACATGGTTTCGGATCCTGTAGAGCTTTCTCATACTACACTATCATCCGCTATTTAACCTGAATAATTGAATTGGAACTCATGGTGCCAATGAACTGTGATGATACTTTACTGAATTACGCTTATAATATGCTCTTGTAGCGTTCAAACGACATGTTAATGGTGTATTTATTGACAAATGATGCAAACAACGCAACAACAATCGGAGTGCGACCGATCGTTCTAATATATATCAGCAAACCATGGATGACACGATTGCTTTTTGATTTTTAACTAAACGTTATAACGAACTAGAGCAAATAATAAATTAAAAATAATTTAGAAATGCAAAATATGGAAACAATTTATAATTCAAACCATTTATAATTTAATCATGAGAAAATTGATGCTTATCTATCTCGTTATTAGGGAATAATTCATACCAGGAAGTACACGCAAAAAAAGAACAAGCTTCCAGAGCTAAAAAAATAGCTGTGGCAGATAAGATGCGTCACTGAAATAGAGACAGCTAATGTCGATACCACCGGAGCTAAATTTATTCGCTGTTAAACTTAGGCGCTACAGCGAGAAATATTAGCTGCTAGAAATAAATGATTGTAGCTGTACGGCAAACTTTTTTAATATATGCATACGATAAGAAATTTAGCAATAACTGCCATTTTCTTAGCTACTTGAAATAATATGCATTTTTAATGTCACCTAATATATTTGTATTTCATAGCGAATGCATCTTAGCTGTCATAGCCAATTCTTAACAGTGACAGCTAAACGATTAGCCTTTTGACTAAGTTTGAATCAGCTACCGCGGTTTAGCTGATATTACTAAATCATTTTTTTGCGTGTACTTCGTCAAAAGAAAGTAATATATCAGTGATTATCACTTTCTATTTCTTGTTCTCTATCACTTTCTTGTGACTTAAGGCTTGAGTCAGAAAGAGATCAAGAGAAAGAGACAGCAAAGAACACATCTTAAATCAAGCTTTATCAATCGTCGCTCGTGAAAAGTCTCATAGCCCCGTTCGTTTCATCCGCGTCCAATGGCGATGACTCTCCCGCATGAATATTGTCTAACGACGGGGTTGATTGCGAGGAGACGCGCGCGCATCGACGGGGGAAAACGGATTAAGCGGAGTATAACGGTCGCGGACGGAGGAGCCGCGAGGACGAAAGTCTCCAGGATAAAGTTTCGGGGCCGACCCGTGGGACGACCGGCGGATCTAACTGTTCGGGGCGCGTCTTATAAGTGTCGCCCTGGCTGAGGAGAAGCGAGATATTCGCGCGCACGAACCCCTGGCTGAGATTCAATATCTGCCGCGTCAGCCGCGAGCGCGCCTCCCGCCGTAATCACGGTCTAATCAAGAGCGGCGAGATTCGATTATATACTCGCCGAGTTCTCGGCAATAGGACGTAACTAGCGTATGATAGCACGAGGCCCCGGCAGCGAAACGAGCCGGGCCATGATGTAGCCGACGCGTCGCGCGCTAGTTGCCGACTGCCAATTATGTATCCCGGTGCTTTCGGCCGTTCAGCTCGAGACGAATAAACTGTGTGTGCGCCCGCACAAAGCGTAATAATCCGCCGTGGCGTTAGCTACTTTTGCGCGCGGCTCGATTGGTTTAAAGCCGTGAAACGGCAAACGAGTTTGCCGAATCTCACACGGCGCTGTTGGCTCGGCTGCTCGTCGTGCGCTCGCGCGCGCATGGTCGAGCAAGGTAATTGCAAATTACGTTTTTAATCTCCGCGAATCTCGTCCCCTGCCCCTCCTTCACCCTCGCTCGCGTTGCAACGCGCGATTCGTCGCGATTAATCCGTTTGTAAAATGGCGCCCCGTGCAACGATCGGGGCGACACGCTCCAATGTGTGTTGTGGAAGTGTGTGTGTGTGTGTATGTGTGTTGCGCACGTGCGCGCGGAAATTATACGATCAACGTCTTGAGAGAATGATTTCCTCGTCGTCGATCCGACGACGTGGAAGTTGTCGGGCCAATAAACAATTCACTCAACTCCCCGAGGTGTCCAACAGCAACGGCGAGAGACGCTCTGCCCGTCGCCGGAGAGAAGTTTATTGCCAGTTTATTCGCGCTCGGAAACACTTAACTCGGCTTATCCGAGATAAGTATAAATATTTGTGCGATTCATCGACCGGGCTTCGCGCGTCACCCTCCTCCCACCACCCTCCTTACGCTTTCCCGGATTAATACACTCGAGTAAGCGATATATGTCCGATACACAACTCGCCGCTTCGAGAGGTGATGTAAAACAGCGGTGTGATGAATTTTTTATGGAACAGTTCCCTCAGACCGATATTCATAGACTTGTCTAAGGATCATTTTAGGTTCAGATACCTCGCGAATTATTTCATTGGCTATGAAGCATCTTAAGACAATCTTAAATATAATATTGAACTATGAATACCGATCTTAGACTCTGTGCTCTCTTAAAGTGAATCAGTAAGAATTCCTGATTAAATCGGTAAGAGAGGGAGCATTTCACCGATAATCATTGAATGTTCACGGACTTTCAGTGGAAACATTCCAACTTTATTGCTCCATCGTGTATCTCGCTGACTTTGACCAGTGCAAGTTAGATTTCACTGCAAAATCCGTAATACGCAGAATCGGTACGACATCTGACTTTCTGCGTTCGTGATGATGGAATTAACGGCTTTCGCGTAATTTGCGTGCGACACTGCCTATGTTTCGCAAATCACACCCATAATAATGGTACTTGTTGCTGCTATTAACTGATCCCTTCAGCGAGATTTCACTGATCACAGTGCTACATTTACAACTGAAACAGTTCAATTATAAGTGTAGTATTTCAATGAAGAATACATACTAATTGTATTTTGGACAGTAGATTTCTCTCAGAGAATATGGGAGAACGATTTGCATCACTGCGTTTCGCTCAACAGCTCATTTATCGTCAGTATTGCGATGTAGCCAGGTAGCGTTTAATCGAATAAAGCGTGTACTATGCTCTCTCTCTCTCTCTCTCTCTCTCACAAATACACACACACTCTCTCTCTGTCTCTGTCTCCCCCTGTTCCTCTTTCCCTTTCTCTCCGTCAGAAGAAGTGCATTACCGGGCGCGCACTTTCCTTTGTCGGTGTTTCGCGCAAAATGCCGCTACCGAGTTCCGCGGTATTATTGCGACGTTACCACGCGAAAACGTCTTCGCGCAACAAACAGCGGCAAAGGAATTTTCTTGTTTTCTGCGAGATAATGGAATGAGGGGGAACGAGAGCGAGAGCGAAGGGCGCGAGGTAGGTGGTAGGAGGAGACAGGTGGAGCGCGAAAGAGAGATTGAAAACCGGGAAAGCGGAATCGTTGCGGCAGCGGTAGGCTGCCCGCTAAATGTCAAAGAGCGGCAAGGAAGTGGCGCGCGGTTAACGATTTCGCTCTGTATCCACCGTAACCGCGACAGAGTCCCTCCGCCTGCTCCCCCCTCACTTCCCGCCACCCCGTTCCTTCCCCCCTCTCGTCAACCGGCGCGTTACACACCGCTAATTGCGATTCCAGCTTTCGTGGCATTTCTTTCCGCAATTCGTCGGGTAATTTACGCATCCGACGCGCCGTAAAGCGGATTGTGCCCTTTATGTCGCTCAAATTTTATTTATCAGTGGCAGCGCCGTGCGCACTTAATTAAAAGCTCCCGCGGTACTTCCACGGACTTTCTCATCAGCCACGTGTGCGTTCGCATTTCCAACGTCGATTAGGAACCAGCGTTTTCACGCGTATATACCGCCGCCATCCTTTCGTTCCCTCCCTTCCTTCCCGCACGCAGCCTAAAAAAATTATATATATGCGCAGGCGTGTATTAACGGCAGAACGTAATAATATCGTAACTACTCACGCAAGCAACGGTAATATCAGGCCAGTACGATAATAATAATAATAATAATTATTATTATTATTATTATTATTATTATTATTATTCTCGTGATAATTATCATTGCGATTACGTTACCAATGTGACGCAAAATATTGCATGCGGCGTATCATACAAACGCGCAAATAAACATTAACAGAGGAGCCTTTCTCGGCTTCAAACGCGTTTGTCACCCTACACGTGTATCCGTTTTTATTATCCAATTCTCCTGCCGTCATTGCGCAATTCTTTCGCTTTTCTCTCTCTATCTATCTCTTTTCACAGATTCGAACTCTTCAGTTCGAAGAACTCGTCAGAGTTGGAAATTTCGCGAAACGAGACGTAAAATTTCGCGAGAGGAATGATTGACCGTGCGCTTCCATCCCCCGATTGGCACAGCCAGTCGCCACGCGAGTGGCTCTAAGGGCCCGAACACACGGACAAACGTAAGCAATAAAATTTAAGCAGTAAGAAAAATGACCGATCACAATCGATTACTCGTAAACCGTAGAAAGAATTATCGGCTGTGGTCGGTCGACTCGCTCACTGCTTCATTGCTCAAGTTTCTCCGCCATGTACCAAGATTCTAGCTGAACTTTCGACTCGCGCTACGTTCATCCGGCGAGGTATAACGTTATCTCGCGAAAGTGCACGACTATCGTGCACCGAGGGAGAAGGAGTGGTTTACGTCTCGCTTCTCGATGTGCACAGAGCGAGAACACAGCCCGACGGGGTTGTCTCGTAATGATGCCGCCGCGATGGAATGTCTCCACCGTTTGCCGTACAGCATCGAAATTGCCGCATATCCACAGCGTTTTCTTTTGGCTTCTCTGTTGCAGAAGCGCATTGCTACAGCGGCAGCAGCAAGGGCAGCGACACATACCAGAACGCTCTGGAGGACACCACACGGTCGGGGCCGTATTTCGACAAATCGGCCTCGAAGAACGTGACCGCCCTGCTGGGCAAGACCACGTATCTCAACTGCCGTGTGAAAAACTTGGGGAACAGAACGGTGAGTGGCGCGGTGGCTTTTATATCCGCACACAGGAACGCACGCGCAAAGAAGAGTGTTGCGACTAAAATTACATTTTATGCAAAAAACTACACGCTTCTGTTTTTCTCTTATACACTCCCACCAGTCAAATCGTCACACTCACGGCTCGTGTAACTCGTCGAGATTGTGTCCGCGCGAGATGTGACAATATAATAATAGTAACAATAATAATAATAATAGCGATTAAGTAACGAACTGAGGTGACTAGATAAGAGCTTTTAAGAAGCAACGAGGAGGTAGTTTCCTCGACTAAGAAAGCAATCTTACTTTCCGCGCCGGGCGAAACTCTTCGCGACGTTTTAAAATATCGCGACTTCGCTGCGCGATAACTAATTCCCCTTCCGATAAAAAGGGCAAGTTGTAAATTTCCCACTGAGAGGCAAAACAGAGAGAACTCGGAATAGATACGAGATTGCCGGGGTATTAAAAGCGACGGCGGCAACGGTAACGAGTTTGGTTCGCCTTTGTCGCTTAACAACTCGAAAGTAACGGGCGAGGCCGGTCCGACATTACGACCCGGCGGATTAGACTGGGCGATTTACGAGCGTACACTTAAGTCCAGCGAAAGATGCATCTGTCGAAAAGTCGTTCTCTCTCTCTCTCTCTCTCTCTCTCTCCCCCTCTCTTCTGCCTTCGCGATACTTCTCGTTAACAGCGAGGCGCCCAAGTAAAGACGACGCTGAGGAGGAGCAGGAAGATCAGAATGGAAAGCACAACGCGGCCGTTTGCGCGCACGCCGACGACGCCTACGTAAACACGACGGATTCCGCGTTTCCTCGGGGCTGAGCGAGGCGAAATATCGAGTGTCAATATTTTACCGGCACAATGGAGCGTCACCTGTCCCGGGCAAACTGCAGGGGCTACACGTCGGAAGTGCACTCGGGCACGACGGCCTCTCGACAATGCCATTGAACGAAGTGCAGGCGCCTTCGGCATGCATATACAGCGTGCAATGTTTGACCGTTGCGGGGCGTGCGAACAATTAGGGCGGCTCTAGACGGAGCTTTGCGTCAGGTAAATAGGATTACGGCGGCGGCGGCGGCGCGCGCGGCATTATGACCGGCACCGATAAATTCGGATTGGTTTCGCGTCTGGACGACTAACGGGCCGGCCGGTCGTTTGCTTTTTCCGCATGCGAGCGAGCCGGCGAGAGAGCCGCGCGATTTTCATGTGTACTCGATGACTAATGGAATAAACCTCGTTTGTTTTACCGCATCATCACGCTTTTTGACCGCGCTCTCGCGCTTCGGAGCGTCCTGTTTAATGTGCATTAAAGGGATGCTGAAACTGTAAACTTTACCGGCAGAGTACTGATATTTTTCTGCAAAATTTACGTCGCTTTGCTGGCACAAATTTACAAACGCTTTCACACAATCAAAGTATGTGCAAAAATAAATAGGAGCATTGCTCAATATGTGACAAAAGTGAAAAAAAATATTTAACTGTAAATTCTCAATCTGTTGGTGCAATATTTGCTTAATCTAATATTTGCCTTGCAGTCTCTTTCTGTCTCGACTGTAGTATTTCTTTCGTATACGCGACACGCAAAGGATCTGTTTACATTATTTTGGTTAGACCTCAGTTAGCTCTGTTAGCTGACAGCTTTATCGATATTCTTTACAGTAGCTTGAAAACAACGATCGGAAATTTTTTATGCCGCTCATGGAAGTTATGATGTACGCGTATGTGTGTGTGTGTGTGTGTGTGTGTCTGCGTGCTGGGCGTACGTGTATACGCTTGGAAGCGCTATGATGCGGACGGATTCATCGGCCAGGATTAGGTATAACTCGTGGGAAAGCGAGGGAAAAATTCGACCGACCATAACTCACGTAACCGCATTTTACGCGTCTTTTTGCCGCCATCCCGTGGGAGAGATTAGATCGCCTGGATTTCATTCACAGTGGCTGGCCCGATTCGTAGTTACCGAGACGTATGAAAGAGTTGAAATTGTTGGCTCATATGATTCCTGCGGCGCGGTCGCGCACACGCTGATAATCCCGACCGTGTAATTCGCCGTGTTAGCCTGTCCGCGGCTATCCAAGATCGGAGGGTCGTGATCTGTCACGCGACAAACGCCGAAAATATATCTTTGGATGTATGTATATATGCATGTATGCACTGCGCCGAAATAGCTTTAATATTTTTTCCACTAGCATCAGTCAAAAATCTCGACCACGCACAATACATCTACATACTCGTGCGTCGACTATTTCGAAAAAGTGGCAGTGTTATCTAGAAGCAGTTGTGACAACAGGTCTGTTCTTTGTAGCGCACTGCTGAACTGATGCAATAAATTAGTGAGAAAAGGCATACTTGTTTCACTCTTACTTATTACATCAGTTCACAGTGCAGCTACAAAAAGCAGATCAACTGACAGCTCCCCACGCTATACAAGATACTCTCCGAAAGCAAGAAACGTGTCACATGAAAACGTTATCGTGACAATTAAAAGTGATTAGAAATATTTCCCATGGTGAGTCTTGATTGAAGAAAACTCTATCCCGAATTAGAGTGCTGATATATATATACATATGTCTATTGCTTTCGAAAAGTAACCTGTCTTGGCATGGAGAGTTGTCAATGTTATAATATAACTGCTTCTAGGAAACGTTAGCATTTTTTTGGAATAGTCGACAGTCATGATACACGAATATGTAGATGCATTGAGTGTAGTCGAGATTCTCGACTGGTGCTAGTGGAAAGAATGTTAAAGTTATTTCAGCGCAGAGTGTACAGTCGGGGACTAAAAGTTTGTTCGTAATTTTTGGAGCAAGTTTGTGAAGTCATCCTTCTTGTCCAACGAGAACTTCTCTCATTAGAAAACGAATTCTCTTATTGGATAGATGGAGAGTTCACAATCTCATCTCAGAAATTACGGACAATCTTCTAGTCTATATATATGTGATGATTAATGTGTCCGGTATATGTGACGATTAATCGAAAGCCCGCTCGTACCGCCGTAATTCAAAGCGCAACAATTGCAATCGCGATTCGACGGACCACCTACTAATTTCGTGAGCTTCACTCCCCCCCTCCCCCTAACGATCATCCGCGCGCTTTCCATATCCCGGCGGAGGAAAAGAGATACTCGAGAAACGCTGAGACATAACGTACTTTGTAACAATTGAATTGGTAATGCGCCTCGTCGGTTTATACAGCGCCGTGGCTGCTTAGTCGATGGGAGGCGCGCGAGGAAGAGGGAGGAAGGAAACGTATTCGGTGCTCGCGGCGAAGTCGACCGACTTTCGAATGTGAGACGTCCGGATTTATCGTCCGTGTGTGAAACTCGCGCAGCGAGAATCATACGGCGAGGCCAGATTTATTGGGCGAAGTGTACGTCCGCTTCGTACGAGGAAGAAATGCATCCAAGTGCGGGGCCCTGTTACGAGCGAGCTCCCCGCGGCCGTGTTTTACTTAATCTATGAATCGCAAAGCCTGCGCCTGCGCGCCGAGTTCGACGTTCAAAAAGAGGTCCGCGTTCATTCATATGTATGCCGCGTAACCCAGTTTGAATTCAATTCTGTTCGAGAGGCGCGCGCGCGGCCGTGCCGTCTCGAACTTGGACGCGGCGCGTCACTTCGACCCGGTCTCTGGACACCGCTGGACACTCGCGAGCACACTAATGATCACGATCGCGCGCGAGTGTACTCGAAAATTCTCGCTGAACATCGAGAATGAGAGAGAGAGAGAGAGAGAGAGAGAGAGAGAGAGAGAGAGACAGAGAGAGAAACCTGACGTTAATTAATCTCCTACAAAGCGCGCGAGGCCTATTCGAGCGCTCGCGCTCCGCACGCGGATTAGACGACAAATGAATCTCTTAAAATGAATCAATAAAATACTTCTGATTATACTAACAGTAAAATTTGAAACGGCACATAAAGAGCAAGCACGGATGTCTTAATGCTATTAAATACTAATATTACTTTTTAATATTAATATGATTGTGGGAGGATAAAATTGTCCAGTATGTTAAACACATGTATCGAAATTTTTTCTTCGATTATCGTACGCGGAGAATCAACCTTCCATACTTAGACCGATCCTTGAGTCCCAATTTTTATATATATATATTTTTTATTAAAATCCCAAACCTCATTAAACCGAAAAAAACTTCTGATTATATTAGAAAGGACTAGAGAGGGTCGAGGCTAAAGTCACACGGATCAATTGTCAAGCTTATGTTTTTCGTAATAAATGGAGGAACACATTCCTTTCTCTGAGAATAGGTTCTATGTGTCGTGTTATTTGGCTGCGCGAAATGGCTCATGACAGGAACATCGCACGCTATATTTGCAAGCATTTTTCCAAAATTGGTCGCGGTGAATCAATTCTTTCTTGTCTCTGTTTTTATTAATACGTCGATTATGGAATTTCTGATCACAATCGCTCTTTAGCTGTGAGAAACTTTATGGGTTTGGCTAGTCTCCCCTATTTCCCCTAATTTTCAGCGAAAACTCACTAAATTTTCAGTGGAAACACACCCACCTTACTGCTCCGTCGTATATCTCTTTGACTCTGACTAGTGGAAATAAGATTTCACTGCAAAATCAGCAGTTCACAAATTCGTTCAATTCACGCAATTCGTGCCATTCGCGTGCGCTGTTTATGTTCGGAAACTGCAACGATAACGGTTACAGCCGCTGCTACTAATTCCTCTCAGCGAGATGAGATTTCTGCTGATTGCAATGCGCTGTACTTACAATTGAGCCATCAGTTATAAGAATAGCGCATCAATGAAGAATATTCTGCTTCTACTTTCGAAAGCAGACGTTCTATTCTAGACTAGTCAAGAATCGACCACTAAATATGCCCTTCTAATCTTTTCACAAGCTGTGACAATGATATCAACACATGACGCTCGTGTGAGAAAATATACGTCGCTGTGCGTCCAGAATAGAAGCCCACAGCTTCTTCTTTGCCCACGGAAATTTCAGATTCACGACGAATCACTTTCTCGC